GGCCCCGGGGGTCTCCGCTCCGACCCGCCTCCGCGCCCGCCCCACTCCAGCTCCCCGACTGGGGGCTGAGGGACCTGCCCCTTAGTAGGGGTCCTACGTTATCCGAAACCCCAGATATGCTCATCAGCTTTGGGGGCAGACCGGAGGGCTTGAAGGGGTTAATAGTAAGCCTTAGCTACTCTAGATCCCAGTTAGATCCCAGGGGGACTGACCGCACCCACCGCCCCCGGAGCCCGGGGCCGGGAGCCGGGAAATCGCCCCCGGCCCTTTGCGCGGCGCGCGCCCACGGCCCGCGTACCTGTGAGGGTTCCGGAGCGTGCGGGGCTGTCATCTTTGACTTGCAGGCACCGCTCCCAAAGCCGCGTCTGACTTGTAGTCAGATCTGGGCTCCACCTCCACACAGCGCCTTTTACAGCTCCCTGTGTTTGTCCCAATACCGTTCGGTCTCAGTTACCTCCTGTGTAGGGAGGAGGTGATTCCCACCTTGCTTAAATCAAAGGAATCTCGTGTGGGTCGAATGGGATGTTGACTCTCATCCCAGATACGTTTTGTGGAATTGTATTGTGCTGGCTGAGCCGGTGTGGTGAGCGAGGACTCAGGAGATGGAACCTTACAGCACAGTTTTTACTACCTAGGAGTTAACTGGGTGTGTAAAGTGAGCCCTCTGGGCCCGCGTTCCCATCTATGCCTGGGAATCATGGCGAAAAAACCAGCTTCCTCAGAGGTTATGCTGAACAAAGGAAATCTCTCTCCTGCACACGCTTTCCTGATTCCTGCTCTTTGCGTGGGTTCCTCTGGCTAGGTAGTCTTGATAAAGGCTGTGATCGGTGACTATGGGTGGGTCCCAGTGTGAGGGCAGAAGTGATGCTCACTTATTACAGGTGTTGTAATTAACAATGCTGGCCGTTCATCCCCGATAGTTGACTTCAATTAGGGTCACCTACCCATTCGGTCTATTCTTAATATCTGCCCAGTGAGCTCGAATTTATTTGCAGGCACAGTTAACAGGTGCACCCGGTCCCTGTTTCTCAGTGTGGTCTTAATGAACATTTCTGTATTAGAAAACTTGAACATCTCTTGTGTATTAACATTTCGTTGTNCTGCCCAGTGAGCTCGAATTTATTTGCAGGCACAGTTAACAGGTGCACCCTGTCCCTGTTTCTCAGTGTGGTCTTAATGAACATTTCTGTATTAGAAAATTTGAACATCTCTTGTGTATTAACATTTCGTTGTTTTTTTTTTTCTATTAACACATTTAATCTCCTTTCCTCTCTTGATTTATCTCCTTCAAAATGCTAATAATCTGAAAGCAGTTAAAAGGTTTAGAAAACCCCCTAAGGCAAGTAAGCAGCTCTTGATTGGTGTTCACTCCGTATGTCTTCCCGGTTATGTTAAGGTCTCTCAGCAATGGAGACTGGAAGTGATAGGAGCACTTATAATGTCCAAAGATTGAGCACCTGAATTAATCTGAAATATGATTATATCACTTATAAAGTTGTAGAACACATATACTTATGTGAGCAGGGATTTAAGTTTCTTTTTTCTTAAGCTTCTTTCGCCTAGGCCTTTGCACCCTACACTCCCCTTGATCCCAGACTGAAGCAATTAAGGAGGTGGTGCAGCTGTGAACAGTGGGTTGAGATATCACCTTATCAAGACATCGCCAGATGACCCAGCTGCATGGTCCGANTGCGATATCACCTTATCAAGACATCGCCAGATGACCCAGCTGCATGGTCCAGCCAACCCAACAACGACTCAAGATATCACCTTATCGAGACATAGCCAGACGACCAAGATCAAAAGAATGACGTCTGGGGACTTCCAGGACTGCACGTAGCTGCATTCCATTCCCAGCCTCAGTTTGCCCCATATAACCCTAGCCCTCAGGCCGCTCCTTAAGACAGGTTTTGGATGCTCGCATGCTCCCTGCCTTCTCAATAAACACCTTATGTGATTCAACCCTGCCTCCTTTGAATTAGATACAATGATAGGCAGCCCAAACCCCACCGGGGTTTCCCGGTAACAGAAGCTCTCAGAAATCTGCAGACCCACCAAGAAGTCCAGACATTTGGAACAAGAGTCTTGTGTGCTGTAACTACAACCTCCTACTTTAATCTCTTTGGTAAATTTATATGTTAGGATGGTCATACATTCTTTCCAAATCAAGCTTCAAGGGACAGAGTTTAAAATAATAGAACAATTCCAGGGTTTAAGGCATCTTATGTGTTAGTTTTCAAGCCTTTGGTTCCCAAGCTGTGTTTACCTGAGGCATTTATTGGAAATGCTGACTCCCAGGCCCCACCCACCCCACCCAGACCATCTGGATTGGAATTTCTAGGGTGGGGCCCATAAATCTATATTTTTCACAATCCCATCAATTAATTTAAAAGCTTGTCTATAAAAGTTTGTGGCCATAAATATACCTATGCCCAGAGGCTAGCTATGAAATTTAAATTTTACGTTCATTAATTCGGGCCAATAAATATTTCCTGAACACAGGCTGTTTGTCAGGTATCCCGCTGGGCACTGGCAAAACAAAGATGAATAAGACATTGTCCAGTCTGTAAGGAGTTCAAGTTTGTAGGAGGAGAAACAATCAAAAATGAAACAGTACCTGGGACACCATCGCCCACACTCGTCAACATAAACAGCGCTTAGTTTTTTCATTGGTTGCTCTCTCTATCCCTTTCTTCCGCTTTCCATTCTTCCTTCCTATTTTCTTTGTCAGAGCTCCATTTTCCCCCCTGGATATTGTAAATACTTTATTCCTGATCTAACATGGTTTTAAAAACTGCTCTAACTTTTAAGGTCAACCTCATGATTTCAAAATGGAGAGGAACAGCTGATTTTTCAGCAGAGAAAAATGGACATAACACACTTTTTTTAATTTGTTAAGATCTTAATGAATCCCAGTCACTGGAGGTTACTAAAGGGTAGTTTCTAATATATGCCTTCTTTTCCTGAAGAAAGCTGNAATGAATCCCAGTCACTGGAGGTTACTAAAGGGTAGTTTCTAATATATGCTTTCTTTTCCTGAAGAAAGCTGTTTCAAGCTTGGATTTGGTTTTGGTTCAGTTTCCTTTATTTGAACAGGGATGAGGGTTGTGGGCTTTTGCACTGTAATACTTCCAAGTTTCTCTGGACAGCCTAACAACAACAAAAAGAAATAAATTGCTCTATTTGGGGGCACCAAAAAGAAGAAAGGGCACCATGGGAAACTTCTTGCCCAATCCATCATGGTATATTAACATCTCTGGCTCATGGTCCTCACTTTGAGGGGTAACCACTTTCCTTTCTGAAGCACAAAAGAAGCAAAGGAAAAGCAGTGGTTAATCTGAACTCAGGTCTGTGTTTTGGATGGGTTGAAGCCTTCCTCTGCCTCAGTGAAGCTGTTAGAAAATGTGTTTCACACTTCAGGGTGTATCTTCCAAGAGCTTCCTCAAGGCTATTTACATAGCCCAACCTGTCCTTCCTGACCTCTGTGAAATGGGCTCATTATATTGATGACTGACAATGTTAACCCGTGAATGTTTGCCTCTGCTACAGAAAATCTTGCAGGCTTTGCTGGACCACCTACAACAAAGATGGTGGGCAGTGAAGCTGCAGAAAATTCAAGGTCTGAGCACTGCAGTACAGTTTTGGGGAATTGTACGGTTGGGCCAGACCCATGTTGTCTCTGAGGGTGTCACGGTCAAAGGTCAAGCCTACCCCATACCAAAAAATGTAAAAGAGGTACCGGCTTTTATGGGAATTCTGGGGTATTGGTGAACTCCATTAAGCACAATGTCTTTGCCCATTATATCGCCTAGTTAAGAAGGGGTATATATGGAACTGGGGAGCCAAACAACAGACTGCCTTTGAGAAAGCAAAAATGCTGGTCAAACAACTTAAAGCTCTAGGAACCTCCCAGGTGGGATTACCGTTTGAATTAGATGTTTCAGTAACCCCAGAAGGTATGGGCTGGGCCTTATGGAACAAACAGCAAAGGAGTGACTGCCCCTTAGATTTTGCTCCCAACTATGGAAGGGGGCAGAGATCAGAGATGCCCCAACAGAACATCAATTATTGGCAATATATACAGTACTCCTGCAGGTGGAGCCTCTTACTAAAGAACAGCCAGCTACAGTCAGAACTTTCCTTCCCATCAAGGAGTGGATCTGCATGTTTACCATCTGGCCTCTGTCATGACTCAGACTCCTATGCTGACTACATGTCATGCCTATTGACAACAGAGGAGTGCTCTGTCAAATAGTTCTGTCTCTAGAGATGCAGCAACTACTAGGCCTTGCTGAATAAATATATAGAATCTCCAAATGCTCCTGTGTTGGCCCCTGCAACCTGCAAAGAAGGAATAGAGGAAATTCTGGCTGGAGCCTAGTCCACTGACTGCCTTAGCTGGGGCAATTTGCCTACCTGGATGGCATGTATTACACTTGCTCCAAATTACCCTCTCTTACTTTAAAAGCTATCAAAAAATAGCTGGAGGCCCAGCTGGTGTGGCTCAGTTGGTTGGAGCATCATCTCATGCACCAAAAGGTGGCAACCGATCGATGTTTCACATCTCTCTTTCTCTCTCTCCCTTCCTCTGTCTAAAATCAATTTTTAAATTTTTTTTTAAAAGAAATAGATACAAATTGCTAAGTATCTGTATTTTATGGGGTTCAGGAATTCTCACTTTTATGAAATTGAAGATTAAGCATGTTGAAGCATTTTAGTTTTTATGGCATTAGTATGCTTAGGCCAGCATGATTGTATCGACAGGGAGAAACCAGACCTATTGCACATGTATTAGTATCATATTTCCATAAAATAACTTACAGAGTTGTAATTGCATAATGGAAATCAAAAACCACAAAAGGAGATGATGATTACTGCAAATAATGTAACTCATCGTTGAGATAAGCAGAGATTAGAAGACAAACACTTCCATGTGGGCTGTAAACTATATCTAAAGGGCACAGCAGAGCTATGTACAAAATTTATAGGCCTAAAGTCCCACGTAAGGTAACACAGGGGACCCAGGAAATACAAACACTGCTGTTTGAGGCTCTGTGAAAATATAGAAAAGGATCAGTGATCATGGGACCAAAATCAGTATCAGGACCACCCACTTCTTTTTTTTTAATATGTCTTTATTGATTTCAGAGAGAGGAAGGGAGAGGGAGAGAGAGAGAGAGAGAGAAACATCAATGATGAGAGAGTCATTGATCGGCTGCCTCCTGCATGCCCCTGACTAGGGATCGAGGCCACAACCCGGGCATGTGCCCTGACCGGGAATTGAACACCCATCTCCTGGATCCTAGGTCGATGCTCAACCACTGAGCCACACCCCCAGCTGGGCAGGACCACCCACTT